ACAGGTGACTGATGTAAAAGCAGCCCCTCATCAATCACCTGTCAGCTAGACACACCCAACACAGTAACCATTTGGGCACCAGAGGTATGTGTGCTAGGCCGTGTTTAGTTGCCCAGAATTTGCGCCGCCCGAAATACTGTTGCAACACTGTAGCAACAGTGTCGTTTTGTTTTTATTTGGTAATAATTGTTCAATCGTTGACTAATTAGGCTCAAAACGTTCGTATCGTAAAGTACAACCAAACTGTGTAATTAGTTTTTGATTTCGTCAACATTTAATACTCCATACATGTGTCCAAAGATTTGATGTGATGTGATGGAGAATCTTACACTGTGCAAATTTTGGAGATGCAAACTTGGTGCAACTAAACAAGGGCCTAATGAGAAATCAGATAGCAGTCGATGACAACATTGAATCTTTGAATATTGGGAGGAACAGGGAGTAGTATGTCTTACCACGATTCTCTGAATCTATCTAGAAACAAGAATTACATGAGTGGGCAATAAACAACAAACACCCACCCATGCATGTCATCACAACTCACGATACAACAAAAAAATGCATATCCCATGGCTGGCTGTTCACTATTCATCATTTCTATAAGCACCCACGCTACTTTAATCAGCTTTCATTCGAGTCAACAAGTTGCTATTGCTCTTAAGCTTTGCTGGTTTCAGGCATTCAACCCTTTTGGTCAAATGTTTTCAAATACTACATTCATGTTCAACCTTCTGATCTTACCACCCATGTTATAATTGAACAAAGCACATAACATCAACTTCATCTTGTTCAATGTGCTTAAGGTTAGAGAAGAATATAATAAATAAAGTTTTGGTTTTGTGTCACGCCACTCTTCCCAACAAGAGGCACCATTCTGTACCAATTATACTGGGCCAAAATCAAATCCCATCTACTTCGAAGATTTTCTAGCAGTGCACATCCACTGCCGTGGCTTTTCAATATCATCACCTGTTGTTGTTGGTACATGCCAGCTTCCATCTTCAGATTCCTACACGCCAACAATGGTAATAGCATCGACTGTGCTGTTCAGTTTCTTCAAGGCATATGATTGATTCTGTAGAGGGATGTAAACTTTATACAGATTTTAGTTTCATCACCTGAATAACAATTGAATAGGGAGGCGGCAAGTGAAGGGTAGGGCCACGCCCAGAGAAAGTTAGTCTGACCTGCGCATAGAGTTGCATAGGTTATACACATTGAAACTTTGAGATGGAAACAAAAAACGATGACAAAAGGGTTTGGGCCTCAGCACGAGTGTGCAATGTCTAAATTTATGAGCAAGCCTTTTGTGCTCCTTAAAGTGGAGCAGCAACCAGCTCTAGACAATGCAGACTTCATGGCTGTGTAATGTAAGAGATATACCTGATGTTTCTCTTTCCACCTAGGAAAAAAACTAGTGCCAAGCAGTTGAAACAAGTGGTCTCGCATCTCATCATTTGTAACAAGCAACGATCGGCAACTGACAGCTGCATACAACCAGTACCTACAGCACGACAGGAAGAGATGATTTGTGGATACCAATGTTATCAGGATGTCCGATTAATCGCAATTAGTCGCGACTAATCGTCCTGGACGGTCTTAGCTACTCGACCAGGGCCTCCGACTCGTCCAGACCGTCCAGAAACCTGGTCGTCCGATTAGTCGTCGTCCAGTCGCGATTAATCGTCCGTCCAGGCTGTGTGGCCGTCCAGCCAGAGAGTGGGCTTCATCCCAGAGTTGGGCCTAGCTAGCTGTCTTATGTTTTGGCCCAAGCCCATTAGGGTTTCTCTTCTTTCCTACCCCTCACCCCCTCAGCCTCTCACTCACAAGTCAACAGAACACACGCACTCTTCTCACCTCTCCTGTCCAGCTGCAGCAGCCGCCTCCATTGCTGCAGTTCTGCAGCTCCCTCTCCTCCTCTCCTCCCTTCCGGTTCCCAGCTGCTCCTCCCTCCCTTCCAGCTGCCCTCTCTCTCTTCCTTGCGGCTGCTGCTGCTTCAAATGTTGCATCATCTCTTGTTGAGAAGGCCCTAGCAAAACTGTCTCCAGAAATGGTTGCTGAAGCCAAAGATCCCAATAGGAAGGCTAAATCTTGAGACCCTGGATGGAAGTATATTGTATATAACTATATAATATATATATATGGTATATATCAGTCCCCATATGTAGGGGGCAACCGGGACGACCAGGGGACTCGTCCAGGGTCGATTAATCGTCTTGGACAACGACTAATCGTCCTGGACGGTCCCCAGGCGACTAGGCTCGACCAGCCGTCCTGAAAACATTGGTGGATACAGAAAATATATAAAACGATTATGCACTGAAACAGCGTATACAACTGATACTTCAAATGGGGAAAGCAAACATTAGCATGCCCTAAATCACTCCCTCAACAGAGTGCACTTCCAACAACCTTTTGGTAAATATATATGAACTTGCTGGTATGTTAAGCAGGAAAAAAGGGGCTCACCAATCATCATTGGAACCAGGAGGGGTCGCATACAGAGCTCCAGCATTCCTCCAACTCTCCAGAATCTTCTGGTTGTATGGAGCCTTTGCAGGACCACCGTTTACACGGTTCCTATGCAAAATGATCAGTGGCAACTTCTTTGATTTAGTTACTCTCTGTATAGCATTTACAACAGAGTTAACCTACAAGGAGAGGGGGATCCAAACTTGGTATTATCAGCTCTGTCTGCCTGCCTTTGTGTTAAACAAGTATTGGATCATAACTTTACTGGTTGGCTGAACAAAAGCCTCCTACCTGTGAAAAACTGAAAGCTTTACTATTGTAAAGGCCTACATTAGCAGCGTCTATAACAGCATCGAATGGTCCATGGCGACGTAGCCAGTTCTGCAGAGATGAGGGAGGTTTTGGGTCAGAGAGACAAGCTTATAGGTTCTTGTTTAGTTCCTCTCAAACTCCCAACTTTGGCACTATGCAAAAAGAAAATTCATGTCACATCAAACTTGCGGTACATGCATGGAATACTAAAAGTAGACGAAATTAAAAACTAATTACACAGTCTGGTTGTACTTTGCGAGACACGAACATTTTGAGCCTAATTAGTCAACGGTTGAACAATTATTACCAAATACAAACGAAATACTACACTAGGGAATCTGGCACTATGCAAACTTTGCACATCCAATACACTAGGGAATCTGGCACTATGTAAACTTTGCACATCTAAATTCCGACCAACTAAACGCGCCTAGAATGAAAAAAGAGTAGCACTATATGGGATGGGGGTGAAAGAAGATGGTGATGGATTGGAGACAGACCTGGAACACGAGGAAATCTTCCTTGACGTCACGCTTGATGGCAAGTTCGGTGAGCGAATTTGCGAAGTTGTCAGTCTCCGTTGGATCAATGTCTATGCAGACAAGCTTCTCCCCACAACGTTGGCATGTCCCATCCTTGTCCATCTCGGTCCAGCCAAGGCTCCATGGCCCCTTGCCAAGCCATCCCTGGCCATGCCAGCCGCCGCCGCCCTTGACGATGCCCTCCTTGACCTTGCTGGGATCCCACTTGTCCACCCCCGCCTGGGACGCTGCGTCCGACCGGAACCAGGCCTCGACCACCTGGGCGGTCGTGTCGCAGACCTGCCTGACGAGGGCGCGCGTCCTGTGCAGGAGCCTGTAAACCTCATCGGCCTTGCCCTTGTCCGCATTGACGCGGAGCAACGCGGCGAGCTCGGGCTCCTCGGGCACGACGCCAGAGGCGTCCATGTGGGCCTCGACCTGCTTGGCGCCGTCGGCGTCTTTAGCATCGCAGTAGGCGAAGAGGGCTGGGCCGTACGAGCGGAGGCGCGGCGGGGTGCCCGCAGTGGCCATGCGGCGGACGACGGAGAAGGCCATGGCGGGGTCGCGGGTGGCGGCGGCGAGGCGCGCGACGCTGGTGAGGGTGGCCTCGTTGGGCTGGACGCCGTCAGCCTCCATCCTGGCGAAGATGTCGAAGCCGCGCTGGGCAGCGGCAGCGGCAGCGGCGCTGTCGGTGTCAGAGTCGGTAGCGGCGGCGTTGGAGCAGAGGTAGAGCAGGCAGTTGTAGTGGTGGAGGGAGAGCGGGACGGGGGTGTCCGGGGAGAGGGCGTCGTCGTAGAGGCGGAGCGCGGTGGTGAGGTCGGCGTTGCGGGAGCACATGTCGAGCTGGTGGCGGAGGAGGCCCTCGGGGGATTCGCGGGCGCGGCGGCGGCGGGCGGCCTTGCCTTCGCCACTGCTGGGGCTGGAGTCCTCCAGCGCTGGGGCCGTGGCGGTGGAGGAGTGGCGGCGTCGGCGAGCAAAGGGGATGTGTTCGACCAAGAGGCGGCGGCGCTGGTGAGGTGGGGTGAAGAGGAAGCGGAGGGTGGCGGCGGTGGGTCGGAGGGCCGCCGCCGCCATGGCGGCACGCATGGTTTTGTTGGGGTTCCGGATTGGGTTTGGGTTGGGCCTTGCTTGACTGACCTCCGGAAATTCAATTCCTCTTCCCTCTTTTATCGTTCCCTTCTCCTTCCCCTTCCGGCGTCTACGAATGAATGAACAAAGACAGGACAGAAACCAAATCCCAAATCAGATAACCAATTCCACAGATAAATATGAATAAATATGCAGACACAAGTCCGTTTATTCTGTGCTCCTGTTGTACAATTCTCAATGTCTTTTACAACCCCACCGGCTAAGACTTAATATGAATCCCATAGACACCAGATTCCTTAAAAAATCCACACATACTTATGCTGCCTTTGGTGAATCCATTGCCCAATCATATGCTATTATGCTACACTAGCTCTACAAAATCTATCTACATTCCGAAATAAGCAACACCACCTCGAAAAAGAGCTCTACACCAACATAGATCCCTCCCAAAAACAGAGGACCTTCCAACATTATCCCCCTTAACTTGCAACTTTGCAAACAGCAACATTGCTACGTATTTCCCCAGTAAAAATCTTTCTTTCCTCCTTCCAAGGGCTTTGGAGTCAGAGTGAGTGTCGGTCATGACAATGAATGGCATCTGGCTCATCATAGCTTAGCTTCAGTTTCATTTGGTCGCCATGTCGTCTTTTGCACAAACAGCAAGCCTTCTTTATCCTGGGAGTAAGACATGCGGACCTCCCAGTGGAGAGATTTCACAATGTTCTCCACCTCACTTATTGTTTCAATGTTGTCTCTGACAATTAGCCGGCCTTCTGGCCTCAACACACGATCCACTTCCACGATAACAGGTAATAGTTCACACCTGTCATATCAGACAGAACATGCCAACAATCAGTGTTGAGGATGAAACTCGCATAACTATAGTATGCACAAGTGCAAGGGAACTATCTAGTTGAACAGTTCAGCCCAAGGCAATTTGGTAGCCGAAGCAGCATCCACAATAGCTGACTACTCAAGGACGGCATACACTTACCTCTTCTTAACCTTGGAGAACAGATGGTTGGCGTGCAGAAGATCGTAAGTTCTCGGATAGGTGCTAAATGACTCACACCAGTCATGGTACAGTCCAAACAGCCCACGTTCATATATAATTGGAAGTGTGTCAGGTGAATCAATTGGAACCACATTCATGACCCACACCTTGAGATCGCGCAAAGCTGCTGCGAACCTACAACAGAAAATGGGTGAGAGAAATGAGTGTGCTCTGGGCAATCATCTTTCGTTTCAGGAATTGCAAGTAGCAGTTAAGAAAATAAAGTCTAACACGGATCCCAGTGAAAGAGAAACCAAAATCTGAGGTCAGAGAAAGAATTCCACATGCTCAGAAGGTTAGAGTGAACAAATAAGGCAAGTGCACCTCCTTACCCTGCATATACAGCTTTCATATCCATAACATTTCTAACAGAAGACCAATCAATACCCAAACCATTCATGTATGAATTGCTCACGACTCGCTTCCAGTGTTCATAGTCTGCTTGAAAATCCTCTGGGGCAGCTTTCCCATATACTCCAGCCTCAGAACCTCTCAGCCAATAAGGCGGTTTCTCCAGTCTCAATGGCCATAACTCGGGCCACTGTGAACCACGAATGGTAGGATCTACAGGCAACTTATGCATACAAGTCCCCAATGATATGTTCCTGAACAGTGACAAGCGATGAACCTAAGATTAGGTTTATAATTAGGGGATCAGCATCAAATAAAGGTATAGCCTGTTGAGAACAGTTACCAGGCTGCATCAGGATCATCATACTCTCCACAGAGTGGAGGGTTTGTTTCAGATCTTGCTTCATAGCAGCTGTTGTCTGTTGGCTTTCTGTAAATCGCTATACCCACTCTATTCACCCTATCCTTTACTTTGTTGACCATTTTCCAGCACATTGAACTGGTTAGAGCAGACATGGCTAGAACAAGCCACAACAAAGATAACTCTTAGGCATGAAATTCGTAATTCATTACAATAATAGTAGAAAAGAAAGTTAAAGTATGAACCCTCAATAATACCTTGCCATATCTCAACATCTTCAGGCAGCTTCTGGTATACGGGTGTAGCAGACCACACAAAGTAACCACCAGGACGCAACAGTCTGTCCAGTTCAAGCAAGAGTTTACCGCCTGCCAAATAACTAACAGGCATAGTGTCACAAAACAGCTACAGAAAGGGACTGTATTGTACTAGAACAGGCTTCCCATGATGGAAAGTACCTTCAATATGCCATGGTACCCTACATCGCGCACAATGAACAACATCAAAGACCCTACTGGGAAATGGGAGCCTTTTTGTACCCATAACAGTTGATATAGCAGGTATTCCTCTTTCAAGAGCAAATTGAACCTGAGCTTCATGCTCATCTTTAGGTGCAAATGACATAGTAATCACATCTCTGTCAAATAGATATCCTCCAAAGCTAGCTACTCCACAGCCAACATCTAAAACTACACGACTTTGTTTTCCCCATGCTACGTCCTTCTTTGCCTGTGTAGTATAGCATTAAAAATGTCAGTCAATTTTGTAAACAAGCATAACTACTACATATGCATAAACTCAGTCCAAAGAAATTGGTGCAGGGCACCTACTCAATGAATCATGAGCATTCTGTTTGTCAACTTAGCAGATATTTATAATGAATAGGTAAGAAAATATTATAGCGCACATTAGCAACTGAATTGATACACATGGAAAGCATATTACCTTCTGAATAAAATCAATGTAGTGCAACGCACCATGTTTAAACTGAGTCCCACCTCCCGGGAAGATGAGATACTCTCCAGAAACCTTAACCCAGTTTTGGTGTCCCTTGTATTCAACCAGCTTAGTATGAGGAACATTGTTGTACCATATCTGTAGCAACAAAACCTTGAGTAAGTAAATCGACTTGGCAGATAACATCTTATAATCATTAAGGCATATGAACGGCCAGCACAAACCTGATCTCTGCTCTTAGGCCACCTTATTGGATTCCTGTAGCCCTCTGGTAGAGGAACAAGGCAGGTAGGAGGTTTCTCAGGGCAATGCCTTTCTCGGTGTTCGTAGTGCTTGGTGGAACGGAGCTTCTTGATAGCTTCTATGTTGTCAAGGCATGGAATATAATCTGCTCCAGCGTCGACATTGCATAGCGCCCAACTAAAGCTCACTGGGCTACTGGACATCAAGGTTTGCTCCTTAGTGTCCTTGTTAGATTGTGCAGCCTTCGTTTGCCATGGTCCTCGCTCTGTAGTGGTCTCATTGAAAAGCTCCGCCTGACTCCCATCAAGGAACACCTCTGGTTGCTCTGAGGCCCTCTGTTGGTCAGGCTTCCTAACTTGCTCCTTGACATCCTCTTGCTGATTTTCACCATCCATGCTGTCTGTTACAGGAGGCAATTGTTGTGTTACAGGTGGTGGATCATCACGGATGGTCTCCTTGGCCGGCACTGGATCAACGAGCACATCCCGTTCCATTTCACGGATGCCATCGCCCTGACCTAAGGTTCCGGTGGCAGGAGGAGAGTCATGAGGCGGCAATGGACGGACTTTGAGCTCAAATGGAGAGAACTCGGCAGGGGTGACGAGCATGGACGATGCCATCCACACAGACACCAGGCAGAGCGCGACGAATACGGCGACGGTGGTTGTGGAGCAGGAGAAGTAGGAGGACTGCGGCGCACGCCGGACATCGAGCCGCGTGTGGCCGAACGCCATATTGATCGGTCAGTCCAATGCTCACATCCAACACGCCTGGCCTCCTACAACAAGAGGAGGTAAGAAGATTGCATACATCGCTGGCTAGAGAAGGGAGGCAGTAAGAACAGTAACTTGATTGTTGGCGGTCCGATTCCAGGGTAAGAATCGAGGAGGGGAACTAGCTAGAAGAAAGAAATCGGGAACGAATCTCAAAAGGAAAAGGAAATCGAATTGCAGGAGCATCAGGAGTTAGGAGAAGTAATCTGGTGCGTACCTTGCGGGAATGAATCGGTGGAGGGGGAAGGATTGAAGCAGGGGACTGGATCCAGATTCCGCGTGTCGGCCGCCAAGAACAGACACCGAAATGGACAGGCAGACGTCCAACTCTACTTTATGGTCTTGTCTTGTCTTTTGGCGGAGAGGACTGATGGGCTGTAATCAGGTGGCGGATAATTTACTGGGTTGTTCTAGGCAAGGAGGAGGCACGGATCAGCTATCACGGCAGGCACCGGGCACCAACTGTCCTTCGCCCCATCTTCCTTCGTTTGCTCCAAGTAGGCTTTTAGTTTTTCTTATTTAGTTTCAGGGTTAATTCGAACCATACTATAGCAAATGTCTGCGATTACAATTTGTTTATTTGTTAGTCATTACAATTCGCTCTTTACATGAATCATGCCATTTTCTCCGGTTCGATGACATTAGACCCACATGCAGACAATCATATTTTCATATTGCCCAAAATACCCCTTTTCTTCTTCCTTATTTCTTCTCAGAACTCAACAATGGTGGTCCTAGGCTGTGGGATCCCGATGGTGGCGCACCACCACAGAGATAGGAAACGACGACGCTGGGAGGAAGGAAGGTGTGAAGCGAATGGGACAGCTCACCAGCGCCGCCACCTCCATGCCCCCTAGTGGCCGGTGCTCGGGGGGTCATGGTCGTCGCTGTTCACGCTCGTCTGCGCGCCTCCAACCGTGCCCGTGCTCACAGATGTTGACTCCCTCTGTGCTCGTGGCCACTCGTCGGCGTTGTCGTACTCGCGCTGTCGCCCATGGACCCGACCGCATCGGCGTCCACACCGCCACCCGCGGATCTGGCCATGCCGCCATAGCAGCAGGCGGGTTCAACCCTCATGCCACGCCCACCGGACGAAGCCCACACACAGCGCCTCCTTGCCCGTGTCTCCGCCATGAAGAGCTCCTCGTAGCAGCTTTCTCCACCGTGGACGCCACGGGAAGAAATATGAGGGAGAAAGAAAGAAGATAACACATGGGCCCAATGTAAGTGAGATGGAGAGGGGAGTGGCAAGGGCATTGTCGGGTTCATAAACACGTTGCGAACGACGCGTAACTCTTGAGCCAGCCCAAAAGCCTAAACAACATGTCAGAAGGACAATCCACTCTCCGACCGAAAGGCCTGGCCAAGAAGGAACGGTGGCCACTTCCGACTCTGGTCCGCCTCTCCGACCGGAAGGCCTCGCTTCCAACCCCGGCCCGCCTCCGGACGACCTCTCCGACCGGAAGGCCTGGCCAAAACACTACTTCCGACTTCGACCCAAGTCTCCGACCAGGGATGCGCCGAACCCCTGCTCACAGCTCTTCTCCAACTGACGCAATCAGGGTCGACTAGGACCAATCGACCAGGGACGCCCACTCGGTAAGGACCAGGAAACGGATGGAGAAAGCAAGGCAGGGCACTCAAGTCAACCGCAATACCGAGGACCGTACCCTGTACACCTGCAGGACAGTACCCTGCGACCTCCCTCGCATGACGGAACCCAAGCAGTGTTGTAGGCGCCGACATTTCTCCTACAGTGTTGTGGACGCCATCAACTCCCATACCAGACAAATACGGTAAGGCTCCCCCCACATGCCTCTGGGCATCAACAGTGTTGTGGGCGCCGGCATTTACCGTACCAGGCGAACATGGTAAAAACCCCTTGCATGCCTCTAGGTATCAATAGTGTGGCAGGCACCGACGTCTGCCATACCTGAAGAAGACGACGCAACCTCCCACATGCATCTAACATTAAAACAGTATTGTGGGCAGCAAGACTTAGCGGCATATGTATTCTCTCCCTCTCACTTGTAAGGCCATCCCTTTTATCTATAAAAGAGGATGCGCTCTCTCCCAACAGGGAGATCGATCAGTTCATCTACATTGATTCACCCTCTGTAACTTAAGACACTAAAGTTATACCGAGCACACGCTCGAACACTTAGCACATAGCGAGGCTCTCGTCACTCTCAGTCCTTCAGACCAGAGTCCGACCAGACCTCTTGTACCCCCCATCTTTCTTCTACTCGTTTGTAACCCCACTGCAAACTTCGAGCACCTGGGCTCAGGAATAAAGTTACCGACCGACTCAAACTGGATGTAGGGCACGTTGCCTGAACCAGTATAAACCCTATGTCATTGAGTGCTAGGCCACCTCCGATCACAACGTACAGCAAAACTATAAATATTTACGTGTTGGTCACTTTCTGCACCGATAATTGGCGCCATCCGTGGGGAAGATGATGTACGTTCAACACTTTTTGGTCATCGGATGGCCCACTTTTCTGTCACCTTCGCCATGGCGGACATAAGCGATACGACTCGCTTCGGCTCACTAGAGTTCCCTGCACTCCCACCTATGGGGATGTGAGGTCTGCCCATCTTCGAGTCGTCCTAGGCCTTCCTCTTTGGAAGCCTGGACTTCGTCGCCGATCGGCTCGGCGTACTACACCTCTGTGAGGAGGCACTTTTCCGACGCCCATCGGAGGGGCGCCCTCCCTCGGCTCCGGGACGCGCGATGACTTCAACGACGAGGCGCATGTGCTTCATTCCGAGCAAACTCTCTGCTCAAACCCCACTGTGAGTAATGTGCATGCTGTTATTTACTTTATATTTACTATCTCCCGCCGATTATCCAGGGGGACCATATTGTTCGCACCGCAAACACCGTACGACCGGTTCCCCTACGGCCTTGCGTCCCCCGCTGATGCGTGTGCTCGGGGGCTCCAAAGGACGCTGGCACCGCCCCCTCTCACATCTGAATCGTGGGAATAGCGAGCTATGCTCCCACTACTTTCCACGAACTCCTGGATGACGAGGTTGAGAGCGACGGCTCCAGCATCGACGACATGGCACCTAGCCATCGTCCATCCTAGGAGTACGCTATAGCAGACGCTCCGGGGCAGCCGCCGATGGTTGTGGAGTCTGTGTAGACTCACACCCCTCTGGACCCACGTGTGGGGGCCCTCGCGCTTGCACAAGAGCACACCGAGGAGCTACGACGACGGCGGTAGAACCAGCCACCGCCTACGCCGGCGCGCTCGGTGCAGCACGTTGCGCCCCATGCGCATGACCCGATGGGCGGCGCCCGGGGTCGCGCCCGCTAGGTCCAGCACGACATCATGAACAAGGGGAATGACCCCCCATAGTTCGCTTGGGCTAGCCAGAATATCACCGATGCGGCAATGCTTCTGCGCGGTGTTCCCGAGCCCGTCGACCCCTAGGAGCAAGCGATCTACTGAAACCTCCGGTGCTGGTAGAAGCCGCCGTCGTTCAACAGGAAGAAAGCTTCGCATCGTGACTCCGACATGCGCCCTCTCTCCCCACTAGGGGAGTGGGGACGCACCAAACGGATCGCTCCGTCCGCTCACCGTGATAGCCGCCAAGAGCGGCTCGGGAGGCCACGGCTGCGCTGGGGTCCGACCTGGCGCCTGCTCTACACCGACCACCGATACGCGAACGGCTCGGTCCGCACCACGACGCTCGCAGTGTCATCCGCAACCCGCATCTAACCTGGTATGATGATGACGTCCACCGGGCGGTGATAAGGGCAGGCGACACGGACCCTGGTAGAACCATCGTGGGGAGCGGTGAAACGCGCCCCAGGCATGGCCGCTAGCCAGACAACCGAAGTCCCAGCGCTGAGGGCCCGGGACCACTGGCCTTTGACCGGCGTATCTAGAGAGCGCCGTTCCCACAACGCTTTCGATCGCCCACCAACATCGCCAAGTACACCGAGGAGATGAACCCCGGTATTTGGCTTGAAGATTTTTGGCTCACCTGCCAAGCGGGAGGGGTGGATGATGACCTTTTCAACATTCAATATCCACCCATCTATGTGGGGGGACATGTTCGGGCGTGGCATGAATTCCTCCCGCACGACAGCATCCGTGACTAGGCGGACCTCAAGAGGGTCTTCATCAAAAATTTCAAGGGGACATATGTTCGCCCTGGTAACTCCTGAGACCTCAAGAGCTGCCAGCAGGAGCCCTGCGAGTCCCTGCAGGATTACATCCGCAGGTTCTCCCAACGATGCAACTCCTTCCCTGATGTCATCGATGTGGACATCATCAACGCATTCCTCTTTGGGATGACCTGTGAGTCCCTGATCCACAAGCTTGACTGCTTGAAGCCCTATACCACCCATGACCTGCTCGATGTCGCCACTAACCATGCCTCTGGCGAGGAGGCGATCGAAGCGGTCTTCAACGGAGGTCGGGACAAAGGCAAGGCCAAGCGCATGGACCAAGACGAGGGCTCCTCCACACAGAGGGGCAAGAAGAACAAAAAGGATTAACACCGACTGGACAATATCGCGTTGGTCGCCGCAGTAGATCACGTGGGCAAGCAGCCCAGCAGGGCCTGCCTGACTACTTCAACAAGCTCATGGATAGCCCATGCACCAACCACGCCTACCCCGTCAAACACCTGGACTGCGAGCTCCTCAAACATTTCCTATGATAGGCCGGTGGGCCGAAAGAAGGAGACGACAGCCAAGAAAGGAGACACGGCGGGCAAGGACAGAGATGGCTTCCTCGACCCTGAGGAATGCATCATGATCTTCGACGGATCTGATGCCATCTGGTCCAAGCGCCAGCACAAGGTGCGCTATAGGGAGGCATGCGCCGCCGAGACAGCCATCCCCTCCTTCCTTAGCTGGTCGGAATCTCCGATCACCTTCGATCAGAGGGACCATCCCTCCCACATTGTGAGACCAGGACGCTACCCGCTTGTCGTCGACC